CAAGGTTAACCCCTTTAATAATAAGACAAACCGACACCACAGCCCTGCCAATAAAATGCAATGTAAAGAATGTACCATCCATAATACCATATCCAAAAAGGCATGCCAGACTCTAAGCATATGCCAGGGAAAACAGCAGGAAAAGTAAAAACCAAGGGACATTTTACAATATTGCATGTTTTTACTATCCTTTAAAATGTTTTGACTTTTTTTATGTTGTATGAATATATTGCCTGCATGTATGTAAGTGCACCCATGTTGTGGAATGCTCACTGAGATCAGAAGAGGGCATTGGATCCCTTGGAACTAGAGTTATGGGTAGTTGTTAGTCACCATGTGGGTGCTAGGACTCAAACCCCGGTCCTCTGTAAGAGCAGCCAGTGCTCTTCGCTACTTAGCCATCTCTCCAGCCCCTCCATTATATTTTTTGATTGGGTTATAAAACTGGATTATAAGCTATTAGAGTTGCATGTGGCTTGTCCATATCCCCTTTGTTTCGGTTAACCTCCCCTCCGTGCCCCATCCCCTCATCTCCTCTATCCCCTATCCTACTCCTCCACTCTTTTAGTAAACCTTTCCTCCCCCAGTATTCTCCCTCTTAATGCTCAATTTACCTATGTGCTATTCTCCACCCTCTCTAAGGCAACCACCCCATCCCCTTTCTAGTTTCCTAGTTTTTGCAGGTGTTCCATGTTAAGCACATGAAACTAAAGAATTGGGGCTAGGGTCTGCACATAAGAGAGAACATGGGTCATTTGTCTTTTGGGGCCAGAGTTGCCTCATTCACTATAATTATTTCTAGTTCCATCCATTTACCTGTAAATTTCATAATTTCATTTTCCTTTATAGTTGAATATAATACCATTGTGTGTTGTACCACATTTTCATTATCCATTCATCAGTTAATGGACATCCAGGCTGATTCTGTTTCCTAGCCATGTGAATAGAGCAGCAATGAACATGGTTGTTTGAGTGTCCTATAGTGAGATACAAATTAATGTGCCTATATGCCCAGGTGTGGTATAGCTGTGGCACATGGCAGCTCTATGTTTGGTTGTTTGGGGAACCTCCAGTTGAATTCCAAAGTGGCTGCACTTGTTTACACTCCCACCAGAGTCTGTAAGCGTCTCTCTCCCTCATCCCTGTCAGCATTTGTTGTTATTTGTATACTTTTTGTCTCCATTTCCTTGATGACTAATGATGCTGAATACTTATGAAGAAACTGAGGTGAATTCCACCTTTCCTACAAGGTCCGACTTAATCCCCTAACTCATCTTCACTCTCCATCTTCTCAGACATCTAGGTGTGACTTATGCAAATGTATCATCATCCTCTTACACTATAGGAGAGGTTGGGAGAGTGAATAGGCATTTTTCAGTAAACTTGAGAAAGAGAAGAACAGAGAACAGAAAATGGGGAGCTGGAATTATTAAGAGAGTTCCCTTAAATAGATTTATAAGCCCTTAAAACTGATTTCTGATTCTTTGTTTCTTCCTTCCTCAAGGGACGGGAAAGAACTTAATACTTTTTGAGGACCTAGTACTTGGCTAAATATTTAAACTTTCATTTAATTTTCATAAGAACTTTGGGAAGTAGGTGTCTTAATTATTGCACACAATGAAAGAGATAGTCTCAGAGAGCTGATGTAAAGACAGGGGTGCAAGCCCAAGTTTGTGCACCATTCAAGTCTCTGCTGTATCATACCATGAAGACTACATCATTTTTGCCTACAGTAGGCATCCAGAAATGCTTGCTAAATTGATCAGTAAGTGTCAGATTTCCTGATCTTCTGATCTATAGAACTTGAAAAGTCTACTGATTGAAAAATTGTTAGGGAAACGATGGGGCATGAGTTCTTAGGCTGAAAAGTAACAGGTTCCCCGTATCCGCTCCCCCCCCCCCCGCAGTCTATGTCCCACATCTCACTAAAATCTAGAGTATCTTTTTTTCCCTGCTTGATTAGTAATGTTTAAAAATAAACAAATGGTCGTTTCAAATGGCCAGAGAGCAGAGAAACAGGGCATCAGGGCTGGCTTGTCTCCATGATTCAGTCTGCTATCTGCTGCCTTCCCAGAAATTTTGCTCTCTGTGTTATTTTAGGTTACAGGGGACTCAACCAACCAGTGGTATAGAGCAGCTGTTTTAGCAGCTCAACATACTTCTTCAGTTTGTCTCCAGGCCATTGCATTTTGTTGTACATCTGAATCATAATAGGTATAGGGATCTTATATCACGAGAGTTGTTTTTTGACTTATTTTAAGATAAAAGTCTCTGCATATATTTGTGTGTGTGTAAATATGATGTACACAGCCACTCTGACAGATTTCCTTCCTTGAGATAAGACAGATTAAAAATAATGGGAATCCCCATATACTTACACATACAAGATAAATATATATAGATATTAAAATATACTTTATATATAAGACAGTATGTATGTGTTTATGATACGGGGAGAAACAGTGTCCCCTGGAGTGTTCTTAGTTGCATTCATAAAATAATTTAAGAATGGACTCAAATAGAAGTTTTCGGACAATTTTATTAGAATTTAAAGAAGAATCCTCAGGGCAGACAAGCTATGAATCTCAGCAGCTGCCTTGAAGAGGAGACTAGAGGGGAGAGGGAAAAAAGCCATGAAGCTGGTTTAGTACCTGCACTGAGGTCAGACATGGTGGACTAGCAGCCACGTGGCAGGGAGAAGGAAGCTTTAGAGAAAAAGTAAAGAAGCCCAGAAGGTTGGGGCAGCCCAAAGTATTAGGGAGAGCATGCTTAGGAAAGGGATATGAAGAAAAAAAGGAGAGACAGTATGGTTTTCTGAAGAATTCAGAAAAACAGACCGACTTACAGAAAGTCATATGTCTGTGGCTGGGTCCAGAAGCACTGTACTAAGACCAGGGACTCCAGGCAGGAAACGTTCACTATGTCACGAACACACTAGGTATTCCACTCATCTATTTAGCATGACTTAAGGTGAACCTGCTTTCCTAGGGGAGGTCCTTTGATCAGGTGATTGACCTGTAAACTGGAAAGGTGGGTCTTCCAACAGATGGGCTAGAGATTTATAGTCATGATTCTTATGGGGGACTTTTTTGCTTTTCTCCATTTATAGGAAAGTTAGAAAAGTTTGCCTCAAAAGAAGCAAATAGTAAGTCTTTACAAATAAAACCTTTTTTTTTTGGTCTTTTTGAGGCAAGGTCTCCCTGTAACCTTGCTATGTAGACCAGGCTGGCCTCAGTCTCACAGGGATCTACCTGCCTCACCCTCCCCTGTCCTGGAATTAAGGGCATGTACCACCAAGCCTGATCTAGAACCTTTTTGCTTATTGTTTGTTTGTATTGAGACAGAGTATCCCTGTAGTCCCAACTAGCTTGGAACTCACTCTGTAAACCAGACTGACCTCAGTCTCACAGAGATCTACCTGCCTCTGCCTCCCTTGTGCTAGGACTAAAAGTGTGTGCCAGCCATCACACCTAGCCTGAATAGAACCTTTTTTAAAAGTTTCATTTATTTTTATATTCTCAAACATGCTCAGGATGTAGTAGGTATCAATACATTAAACTGAATTCACAATATTTGTAAATTTGACATTTCGCATGTCATAGTGGTTACCTGTTGTGTTAAGACTTTAGTTGTTGCTATGACAAAATACCTTAAGGATTTAAAGGTTTATTTTGGCTTATAGTTTGAGGGCACAGTCCATCATGGCAGGAAACTATAGTGGCAGGATTGTGAGATAACTGGCCACGTTGAGTCTGTAGTCAGGAAGCACAGGGAGATGAATTATGGTACTCCTTTCTACCTTTTTATTCAGTCTTGGGCTTTAGTTCATGGGAGGATGCTGTCCACATTCAGGATGGACCCCTCAGTTAAACAAGACACACCCAAGCTGGGCATGGTGTCACACACCTTTAGTCCCAGCACTCTGGAAGCAGAGGCAGACAGATCGCTGTGAGATCAAGGTGTCTACATAATGAATTGCAGGCCAGCCTTGGAATACAGGGAGACCCTGTCTCAAAAAACCAAACCAAAACAGTAGACACGCCTAGAGGTAAATTTCCACGATGATTCTAAATCCAGTTAAGTGGAAAATGAAGATTAACCATCACACTTGGGTTCCATTAATACAGTTTTTATTTATTTATTTATTATTTATTTGTTTGTTTTTGAGATAGTCTCCCTGTAGCCGCAACTGACCTGGAACTCACTATGCTATGTAGATCAAGTTGGCCTCAGTCTCACAGAGCTCCACCTACCTCTGCCTCCCGAGTGCTGAGTAAAGACATGAGCCCCCATGTTCGGCTTAGAGTTTTTATTTCTGTTAATAGGTGAATAACTGATTATTAGGAGAGGAGCCTGAGAAATATATACTATCTTGACATAGGTCTGTGATTTAAAATCAGTGACATTTTTAATATGAAACTAAGAGGTCTTAGATAGCAATGCAAGCTCTGTAAACACATGGCTGTCTCTTTTCTGCTTGTAACAGGGTCTGCCTAGTACCTGGCATGTAATGCTCAGTAAACTGATCAATGAAAATAGTCATCTTTTCTCCCATGTTTTGGGGACTTTACTTACATGGTATACTTAATCAGTTGAATTTCAGCTGTATTATTTTTATTTGCTTAATAAAGGATTACATTGTGTTTCATATCAGTAAAAATAAGTGAACATTAGATGTTTTCTTTTTTACATAAATTTCTCAATATCCCAATCTTATGAAATTGTTGCTTCCTTAAATTTTGTCTTATATTTGGATATTTTATTTTTATTTGCATGCTGACAGTCAATCACAAAAGTAAGTAGTACTTATTAAAACAGCCAATTTGAAAATTAAATCTGCATGTATATATATACATATACATATCATGATTCCAATGAAATAAATGACTTCTCTTGGTCAAACTTATGTACTTTAGAACTGTTTCCCATTCCTTTAAATCTGAATATTGCCCATTTCCTCTGATAGAAGAATGTAATGGGTTAAAACCTTCTGTTTCAAGGTTTCGTCATCCACACATACTGGAGTTGGCTGCATATTTTACTGAGCCAGAGAAGTTTTGTCTGGTTTATCCATATATGAGAAATGGAACACTTTTCAACAGATTGCAATGTGTAGTAAGTGACGGCTGTGGTTCTCTCTGGTCTTCTGACTCACTGAAGCCCCAGGGTGAAGGGAGACTGCTAACACTGGGGGGGAGCAGAGGCGAGGCATGTGCATGCCACAAGGGAATAGTCATGAATGGTTTTCCGAGGAAGCCGAGGTCCTCTCCTGGAATTGATTTCTCACTCTTAGATAGCTGCCTGAACACAAGTTACTGGGTTTTGTGCAACACTGCTACCATTTTTTCTGGTCCTTACTCCTTATTGATTCTAAATCTAGAGCGTGTTTATATCATCTATCCTTAGCATGTCAAAACAAATTTGGGAGGAGGGGTTGGCAAAGTTTGCGATCAAACTCAGGGTCTTATACCACTGAGTATACCCCCAGCCCACTTGTCATGTTTTGACTAAGCCAATGTTGAAAATTGTTGGGTATTCCCCTAGAACCATCATCAATAGTAGAGGGAAACACATTTGGAATTAAAACTGGGTTGTAGCAAACCAAAATGTTCATTCACCTCCTCACTCCACCTTGCCATCTGCTGCAATTCTGGCACAGGTCTGTGTAATGAATATATAGTTTGCTCTAAGCAAGTACAATCAAACCGACTTTCTTTCTTTCTTTCTTTCTTTCTTTCTTTCTTTCTTTCTTTCTCTTTCTTTTTTTTCCTTCCTTCCTTCCTTTCTTCCCTCCCTCCCTCCCTCCCTCCCTCTTTCCTTCCTTCTTTTGTTTTTTAGGGTAACACCATCCCACTCTCTTGGCACATTCGAATCAACATACTAATAGGAGTATCCAAAGCCATCCAGTACTTGCACAACACTCAACCATGCTCAGTCGTCTGTGGCAATATATCCAGGTAATATTGATTCCAGAGCTTTAGGTTACACCCAAAAACCCCTTCCAGCACCACAGGTGAGTGACTCAAATGCCATGCTCTTTTCTGTCTGTATTCTTCCTGCATGTATAGGAGCATAACAAGAACTCTTCTCTAAGTATTAAATTTATCACATTTTTTCTTACTTTTGTATAAGGAATACATTATATTATCTTTGTGAATTACTAATGCATTTGTGTGTGTGTTATGAGTTATACCTGATAGCAGGATGTGAACTGGGACCTTTATTAATCCTCCCACCCCCACCCCTTTAAGTTGAAATTTAACAGGAGATAAAATTTAAACAGGGATTCTGAACAAGACAGCAGTAGTGAAAGCAAGTCAAGTACCTGGTCCAAGTCTCTAGGGTCTTGTTTATTACAATGAGCCTCCTTCCTCACAGCCTCAGACATGAATCTATGACAAGTCAAGTGCCAACCCATGATTGTTTCTGAGACACGAGAAAATTAAAAGCAACACTTTCTATTTTCCTTCTTTAGTAAAACCACATTCAGGGGAGATATCCATAGCAAAATCTCTCTGATGACATTCTCTTTTGTGATCTTTATGCTGAACTCATCCAAAAGTCCCTAACCACACCATTGTTGACTGCCGGGGCAGCTGAGTTTGGAGAATGCTGCCTCTTCTAGAGCATTTCCTAAGAAAGCTTTTAGTGTACTTTTGACTTGAACAGAAGAGGAACTGATTGCTCATTTTTTTTTCTGGAGAAATGAACATGATATAAAAGGACTCTGAATTTTTCTCAGTATGGGGGGCGAGGGTGGGGGGGGTTGCTCCAATTGTTGTAGTGTAGAAATTCATCAGTTGCCAGGGGCCTCTCAAAATCAGCATACAGTTGAAGCAAACTTACAAAGCACCTGGATATAAAAGGCAATGATTATCTCAGAGGTCAGTGGAGTCACTGGGAATGGATTCCATACAGCTGAAAAGCCATCCCCAACCTAAAAGAATTTCTCTTATACCTATATTATAATTAACTCTGAACACAGAGTTATTTGTTTTACTGGGTGTTTAGAATCTTGCTGTACATGTTCGTCCTCTGGTTTAAAGTAAGCATTAGCTTAGTTTACATCTCACATGTAATACGTTAATCTTGTTTCCTTTATGTAGCTGAATTCATCAAATCCTTTCTTGAAAGCAGAGTTTGAAGGAGAGAAGGGAAAGGTGTTGAGCTTCTGGCTCTTCGTGGGAGACAGACAAGGACAGCCCTAGACTGGGGCAAAGTTGGTAAAGGCAACAGATGCAGAGACTACCCACTTCCTAGGGTTTTTCCCATGTGACTCTAGGCAAGGTGACTGATGTACCTGCTCAGTGTCTCTCTGGTACTGGTAAGAGTGCAGGTTGTGTTTTCCAGCTGTACATTCTCACTGTTGGCTCCTGTCTTCAGGTCCCTAGGAGATAGGCTCAGAGGCAGCAATTCATCTTTAGGAGATTTTTAGGGAGCACATTCAAGAAATAGCCAGGCCTAGTAACACAGGCCTATAATCCTAGCTACTTGGGAGGCTGAGACAAGAGGGTCAGAAGTTCAAGCTTGTCTATACTACAGAGTGAGTTCCAGGCCAGTCTGGTCAATTTTATGAGACTCTGTCTCAAAGTAAAAATCTAGAGATGTAGCTTAGTGGTAGAGCACTTGTCTGGCCTGTGCAGTGTTCAGTACCTAGTACTGCAAAAATAAAAGGAACAAAACAAGCAAATGTCAGGGTAAAGGAGAAGAAGGCAGAATTGAGTAGGGTGTTAACTGATGTCCTAGGAAAGTTGCTGAAACCCCAACAGCCCTTCAAAGATAGGAAAAAGTTAGGTAGGACATTCTAGTCTTTGCACTCTGGCCAGTCCTGGAACAGGGCTTTAACTTGGAGGAGGCATCTCTTTCTACCATGGACAGTTCCAGGTGGGGACTCAGTTGTGCACTTGTGAGCCATTATCAGCTAATCCTTTTCACTAGGGATCAACTGAGGAGGAGCTGGGCAGCAGGGGTGGGAGCACCGGGCACCATGCACGCACCATGCAGCTCAGAAAAATGAGACCCAAGAATGAGTTTTACTCCTGTCCCCCAACCCTCTTAACTCAGGATTCCCTAATGTTTAAATCAGAAACACCTTATTTAAAAATCAGAGCTTCCTCTTAAAATGTGATTCTGAGGGCTGAAGAGATGGCTCAGTGGTTAAGAGCACTGGCTGCTCTTACCAAGGACCCACCTGGGTTCAATTCCCAGCACCTATATGACAGCTAACAACTCTCTGTGACTCCGATTTCAGGGGATCTGACACCTTCTTCTGACCTCCTTGGGCATTGCACAGCACGGATGCACCCACCTATATGCAGGCATTGCACTCATACACATAAATAAAAATAATAAATAAGATTTTTTTAAAAAAATGTGATTCTGAGAGAACTGCATAACTCTCTTAGCCTCAGGTTTTCTCTCTGAAAAATGCTAGTAATAGTGCCAGACATGGTGGCACAGGCCTTTAATCCCAGCACTCAGGCTGTGAGTTCGAGACCAGCCAGGTTTAATATACCGAGTTTCAGGTCAACCAGAGCTACATAGTGAGATCCTGTCTCAACACCCCACACCCCACAAAAGCTAATAGTAGATCAATAGCATCATTTGTTCAGGTTAAATGACTTGGTACTGAACAGAGCACACACTCATAAAATGCCTGTTGTGCTTGGTCCAGAAGTGGTGGGAGTGGTGGGGCAGAGGCCGAGCCATGTACGTGACAGTCAGTCTTTTTGCTCATCACTCCTCTACGTAGCTCTATTGTCAATTCATTGCTTAAAATGAATGGACCTACAAGCAAAGCTCTCGTTTTGAAAGAATCACTTGTGCCTTACTATGTATTTGTTGAATGCCTTGGGGATCAAGTTCATTTTTGTTCAAAATCTGTTGTGTGCAAAGCACAGTGGAGACCATAGTGGGTTTTCTAATCTGAGGATTCAAATGTAGCCCGTCAATAGACTGCACCACACACACACATGTGTCAGAGTGAAATTCCAGGGCTCTGGACATTTGTTTGGTAATCATGCTTTCGGCATGTCTCTGTCTGCTGCAGCACAAATCGTGACCTTCGAGAGCCACTTGACTCTTAGCTTGTCTGCTGAGCTAACAGCAAAGATATTAATTAATGCCAACTTCAGCTGTAGATATCCCCCTCTTATTTGGTGATGTGTACACTTGCCGTCTAGGAACTGGAATGAGACCAGCTCACTTCAGGCCACTGAACATCTGTCGGATGATAATGGTATCTGTCCCCAACAGTCCCAGCCAAACATAAGTTGGCTGACCTTGGTCATCCTCCATCTCTAAAGAGAATTCTTCCCTTCACTCAAAACTTGGATCACCCTGTTTCTTGGCCCATTGCTTTTAGGAAGGCCTGCAATCTTTTGCCTTTGCCATACAATTTGAAAAGTCATCATTAATAAAGATAGCTTCTAACAGGGGGTTCATTTTTATTGTACACTTGTGGTAGTTTGACTGAGAATGTCCCCCATAGGCTCCAAGTAGTTGGACTCTTGCCCCTTTGGAACCATAAGCTAAATAAACTCTTCCTTCTACATTCCCTTGATCATTGGTGTTTCTGTCACAGCAACAGAAAAGTAACTATATCTTAATAGTTGGCTCAAAATCTGTGTCAAGCAGTATTTTTTCCATCAATAAATCAGGGCACCATTTTTACAGGAGGAATGAATAATGGATGATATCATTATCTTCATTTTCTTTTTTGTATTGGACTTTACACTGAAGGAAGGATCACACACGTCATCATCCCTTGACATAAAATAATATTACTAGTAGCATGAAACAACATGGAACAGTGTATATAAAGTGAGATTAGGCAAGAAAGGCCAAAGTGAAGTGTTATATAGCACATAATTATTAAGTTGTAGAACTGCGACTTCATTTATTTAAAAAAACATTAAAAGTAAAACATATCCAAATACCAATGTCTTTATTTGGATAGACAGGCTATGACTTATTTTTGTCATGGCTATGATTTACTACATTTTATGCTTTTAAAAAAAGTTTATACCAGTAGGCTGGAGAGATGGTTCAGCTATTAAGAGTACTGGTTGCTCTTGCAGAGGACCCAGGTTCAATTCCCAATACCCACATGGTGGCTAACAACCATCTGTAACTCCAGTTCCAGGGAATCCATTGCCCTCTTCTGACCTCCGTGATGTCCAGGCAATATACTCATACACATAAAATAAAAATAATAAATAAAATATTTTTAAAAATGTTTTTAAATGTTGGACAGCTCACAGAGGTTTCAGAGGATCTGTTACCCTCTCTGGCCTCCATAGGAACCTGCATGCTCATGCATAAACCTATGTAAGCACACACACACACACACACACACACACACACACACACACATACCTACAGAGAGTGAGAGAGCGACTGGAGAGATGGCTCGACAGTTTAGAACACTAGTTGTTCTTGCAGAAGACCCAGGTTTGAATCCCAGCACCCACATAGCAGCTAACAACTGTCTGTAACTCCAGTCCCAGGGGATCTGACACCTTCTTCTGACCTCCGCAGGCATTGCACAACCCAGGTGCACTTACCTACATGCAGGCAATACATGCATACACATAAAATAAAAATAATAAAATTTGAAGAATAAATCTTTAAAAGAAAACCAAAAATATATGTCTAATTATGATTTATTTTAAAACAAAGCTTTATCTAAATATTACACAAAAGTTTAAACTACAAGACTGGTGTAACTGACCTTCTGGATGTTCAGTGACCATACTTACCATACTTAGAGGCCTATACAAATATGAACAAAGGTATTAATAGGGACAATATTTTGCCCTTGCCCTCCAAGGTCAACTAGGTCTCAGGGGACTATGGGGCATCTCTCAAAATGTTCTGTGGCCCTGGTGATTCATCTGTTCTTTTGGTCAGGGTGGCCATAGAGACCCTAATATGTGAACTCTAACCAGTGCCCATT